AAATTTTTGAAAAACAAGTGTTAGGATAGTATAAAGATACTCTTATAAATTCATTAAAAATTCAATACAATACGCGTTTATTATATTTCCGGTAATAAGCACAATTATTTATCAACGATCTGAAAATTTCAAAATAATATAACATCGCGACAAACAATTTCAATGCTATAATCAGTTTTTTTCCTTTACTTCGATTCCTGTCCGTATGAAAATGTGAAAATTGCTGGATAATAAGTTATAATAATAATTGTTTTTGCTACCAGGTGCTGACTTGACGTCGTCAGGTGGTTCAATGGGTCGGCAGAATATGGTAGGGGTGGTAGCGGATGGTTACTATGGTGCGGGTAGCGGAAACCACGGTAGTGGTAGCGCGGGCCATCATCATCACCACCATCACCATGGTCACCACCATCATCATAATAGCAATGGAAACGGTCATAATCATCATCACCACCATCATCACAACGCTCCGGCAGGAATGGTGGCATCGGCGGCGATTGTGGATGCGCAAGGGGCGGGCGGCGTCAGCGGTGGAGGTGGCGGGTACAGGGTGCAGAGGCAAGCAGCCAACATACGGGAACGTAGACGAATGTTGAGGTCAGACCTGGCGCCGACTCGGGCAGCGGATAGGCCCACGCCGGTCAAAATGTAAGACCCTGATACGGCGCATGCGCGCGCGCGAAAACACAAACGCCCGGGCGGGTCGCATTCGGAACGGCGCGGCCGATCATATTATTATATTTTAAACGACCAGGTCGAAAACTTTTAGCCTACATGCTCTTATAAAGGAATTTTTACGATTTTTACAATTCGCTCGCGAGTCGCACACTGCGATGTATACAATAAATACCGTTTAGATAGGTACCATCTAGAATTTAAGTAAGATATATGATATTGTATTGAYATCCTATAATAGTAAACATATAGGTCAAAGGCAGAAATTCYGAAATAATATTTTCGTGTACCATATATTATGTGAATTACGATTCACCCATGCACCTACGACCAACCCATGTCCTATTCAGTATTAACTAGGTAATGACTTGAAACATATTATATACCATATACGTATTTAGATAAACCGGTATAAAATARTAAAAACCTATTTATATTTTGTTCAATCAGCGCCACAGTTAGAATAATTATATTGGTCATTTAATTATTTTTCGGGGTGTCTGACGATGGCATTTTTATGACACGATATTTTCATAAAAACAAAGATTTATTATCAATTAATTTACCGTACCACCTTGTTGTCATTCGTGAACCAGCAGTGGACAGTGGTCCGCTCATAGAAAAGAGATACTTAACAAAGTTTCAGACCGTTGTCTAAGAAACATATAGTGTGAGTGTCTTAATTAAATTTTAAGACAGTTTATACATTTTTTAAACGCTGGTACTATGTAGTTTAAGAATCTAAAACCAATTTAATGTCAAACCATTTTAACGCCATCATATAAACGTAGTAAATATAAATGTCTGTTATTGTCCAAATATCTATTAATCTTATCGAATAATTAATAGTCACATACTAAATTATTGCTCAATACATTTTAAACAATGCAAAAAAACTGATGTTATATGTTTCCCGTCTACATAAGCTATAGTGCTATACTATTAATTATGAAATATTGTATATACGCATAATAATTACGTTCATATAAGAAAAGATGCATAATTTTCTACAATTTGTACACCACCTCAAATGGACCAATTAATTTTTTTACAGGTAATAAATAATCATTAAAACAGTCGAACCGTTGTCAATATAAACCTATTTCCAATTTTTCCATCATTTTTATATCGAAATTAAATTTGGTTATAGTAGATCAATGTATAATGCACACATTAAGAGAGAACTCCCTTATGTGTTGTCTTCGTCTTACAAAATATCATATTTAAATATGTAAGATATATTATATCAAAAAACTATTTTGCGCGGGATAGAACCAAGAAGGCTATATTGTAGTCGTAAACTTGTAACCAAGAAACGAAATTTCTTCCACATAAAAGGGAGAATTTCGACTGTGAAATATCGTTTTCATTTTTTCGGTATTGAAGTTACAAAAAAAGTTATTCAAGTTTGAAAAACCCAAATAAATAATGGATTTTGATACAATTAGACCTCGTATAAGCTATATCGAAAAAATAAAACTGTATTTTTGAGATAATATTCTCAACTATATTGTTTATGAATTTGGATTCTTATAGCTATCACTACAGCACGAGTGGTTCTATCCCGTGTAAAACAGTTTTTGCTATGTTRMACATTTGTTAGACATAAGACAACACATTTGGGTGTATAGTACTGTAAGCTGTAGCGTTCTCTTAAACATGCATATTGTGATTTATCATAAAAGTAAATATTAATAGTAATAGTTAAATCGTGTAAGTGTCACATAAGGTGTTGATCATTCGTRTTCGAACGACTGGCATTGCAATATCTGGGGCAAAAGACTATATTAAAAAAAAACTATATACCTATATTTCTATATACCTACCAATTATAGGTGCACATCGAGTGTCCGTCGTCGTTTATCTCGTACACCGACCGTCGACGTTCACACCGCAGTATAATAATATAATATTATTATAATTAATCGTTTGGTGTTTAGCAGCATCAACTCGGCGTTCGACGAGCTCCGCGGTCATGTGCCCACGTTCCCGTACGAGAAGCGCCTCAGCAAGATCGACACSCTCCGTCTGGCGATCGCTTACATTGCGTTGTTGCGCGAAGTCCTGTCGGCCGACTGTGACCCACTGACCTATGTCCAGCGGTGTCTAAGCGGAGAGCGGACGCCCGAACGYGCCGAATGGAATACCAGTGGTTAGTTTCTATAATATAATAATTCACTAGCTAGCTGATTCTAAGGTTGCCAATTTTTAATTTGGAAAATATACCGGCACATGATAATATTAATAGGGTACCACAGAGTTCTAACACACATTAACATACGACATCGACATGGCTGCAGGTACCTATGTAAATATACTAATCATACTACCTACATATAAAAATATTTAAGTTGACTATCAGTGTACACAAATATTGAAATATCTAGACTMAACTCTGAAGTCAATATTTCGTTAAGATTATACGGTTTATGGTCACTTGACGGCAATTTCTGATAACCAATTTCACAAAAACTATAAAATATWWATWAATTTATATCAAACTCTCAATCAAATGGAAATACCGGCTTTTTAAGTTTATGTAAGTGAAATACCGGTTGGTTGAACACCCTATAGCTGATCTCCGTGCAACTCGTTTATCACTTAAATTACCAACTCTATATGATTTAAAAATTGTGTTTAATTCGTCGTTGAATATAAGCGGCGTAGTTAGTGATGTTCAAAACTCCCCATAACAATTTCCAGTGGAATTACCTTTAATTTAATCTCCATTAAAGATTTTTAACGGATTCATATAAAATACAAGTTTAAAATTATATTCAATCATAACATTTTATTGCGTTATTAGCTTTGTAAAGATGAAACAATTTTTAAAATTTGTACCTATTAACAAATTGATAATTTCTTATTCATCCATACTGAATTGTATATAAYCTGCAATAGCAATTACCTATATAATAAACAAAAATATACTTATAATTATTATTATATCTGTAATTTCTATAAAAAATCTCAGGTTTGCTGTAAAAATATTAATGGCCATTTTATCATGATAGATACTACAGATCCACGGAATAATGTAGCTTTCTGATGTTAGAAAMATTTTATAAATCGATTTATTAGTTCCAGAGATTAAACCGAACAAACGGACAATTTTTCTTCTYTGTATTATAATATAACCTTTTTGACCCCTATAGAGGTTAAATTTTGAAAAATCCTTTTTTACTGGTTTTTTGCATTAAAATATGAACTTACTGGTTACATGTCATACTCAGTGATTCCGGCAAGCCGCTAGGTGATTATGAATCACTCAAGACAAGTCATTATCTATATGAACATAATATAGATAATATAAGARGCGCCTAGAACACAAAAGGTTTAAGTGACATTTAAWAAAATTATGAATTAAGYCCACAGCTAAAATACTAATTTTCCGTTTTATTTGGTGGTAAAGAAATATAAGTGAATTATTTGTTTTGTTCTGAGATCTGGTATCAAATCAYTTAATCTCCAAATAAAAATGATATCTAGATTAAAACTTTAAACTCCATTATTACAAAATTCAAATAATGTCACTTAAACCATGYAGTTATAGCCCTTGCATTCTAGCCTCTGGGYGACTATTAATTATTAGTTATTTCTAAAACGTCCCGCCAAAGGRCAACCGGGTCGATAGCGAGGAGGCACGGGGAGATACGTAGAATCGGCGTGTTCCCCCACTGAACAAAGTGGTACCTACCTATTAGGTTATCTTATTATGGTTTAAATATTCATAATTTCGATTTTCGAAATCAATCAACAAGCTATAATTTGAAAGTGATTCGTACATAAAAATTCCTAAATATTAATAGAATGACGTCTTGTAGTAGAAAAAAGAACAATATATATTAGTGAATTATTGCTATTTTACGTTTTATTGTCATAAGTAGCTATGCATATGTACCTGAGTTACCTAAAGTGCATGCGATGATGAATGATGATTTTTTTTTATTTCCGCAGATCTAACAGCCAGGCTTTCGTGGATCAACTGGGAAAACTTGGGCGTGAATCCCAACAGACGAGGTGTCTTGACGTCTTATTCGATTCCTGACAACGTCAACAATTAAAATATGCTGRCRAGTTAGGTCGTTTAAACCCGTCGCCTTTGTACATACTAGTAAAATGTGTATATTATTTCCGTTTTAATAGTCATTTATTTGTTCGTTGTTAATATTTAAT